TCATCTATTTATTTCTAGTCATCATTAGAAAGTCTGCTGGGCCCCTATTTTAGTCAGTGGGTTATAACTCACCACTCTCCTTATGTTTTCGATGTTCAAATTGGGAGTTTACAAGGCCCCTTCCGGGTCCTTTTCAGTTCCCTGTGCCCCATCAGTATTTTTAGTGTGTCCTTACTTTCTGGCACAAGAAATACTCCAGGCTTACCAGGCATGTTCCCTACCCCTGGCCTGGAGTAAGAAAAGGCCACTTCAGTACACGGGCTCACGACCAATACGGGCGGATGTCACGAATGCAAGCTGCCCCCAGGGCCCCTGCTATAAGATGCTGTTAGACAGGACAGAGTCACTGTCCAGTCTAATTCTAGGCTCTCTCAGGAATGGGCCGCATTAAAATCATTGTTACTTCAAGTTTTCAATTAATTGGGCCCCTAGTACTTAAGGTCTTACCGAAATTTCCTCAACAATTCTAATGCACACACACCACTTTTCATCAGTGCTGAGATCGACACCCACACCCACAGTGTCGGCCCCAGGCTATGCCTGCACACCATTCACTCCACAACCCTCACCAAGACCTGTGTGCACGACACAGTGTTTATGTCCCACCTAGAAAAATGTCACATAGCAGTGGCTGCTCAATAAATTGTAATGATGAACCATTTTAATTAGCAAATTGTGAGAGTCGTTAAGTTAATTAGCAAAATGTAAGAATTCTAAAATTCTTACAAGAATGTGTAACGCATTTTCTTATACTAAGTGAAGGTAGAAATCGATCATAGGCAGTAAGTGCCTGCACATCATGTTACTAAATAAAAAATTAAAAAAATCTTAATTTGATCAAAAGTTACCTTACATATGTGATCCTGAGCTGGACTGAAAAACCTGCTCTCAGGGCACGAATGAGTCCAGTGACAACGGGAGCAGGGACCCTGCTGTAGGCACTGTGATGCCTCAACATTAGCATCGTGAAGCTGACTGCTACACTGGGTTACACAGAGCATGTCCTTGTCCTTAGGAATTAAATACTCACTGAATGTTTTAGAGGCAAAGTGATGAGATGTTTGTAACTTATCTTCAAACGATTCAGAAAAGATCTGCATGCAAATGAATGTGTGTGCACACAAGGATAATGATAAAGCAAATAAGGAATATGTTCATAGCTGGAGAATCTGGGTAAGGAATAATGGGATTTTTCCAAGCTATTCTTTCAACTTTTCAACACACTTTAATTTATTTACAAATAAAAAGTTAGTTTAACTGAAAAACACAGGTACCTTACTTGAGTTCCTGGGCTTCCCATCCACACCTCACTTATTCCTCACAACCACTGGGGGTGGTACTATTAGTACCCCCATTTTGCAGAGGAGAAAACTGAGGCACAAGATTAAGTAACTGAGTAAAAGGTACACGGTCAGGGTATGACAGAGCTAGGATCATCTGACTTTCTGGTGTGACCCATGCAACATGCCAATTTAATTCAACCGCATAAAACCTCCAGCAGTGTGGAAGGGAAATGCACATCTGTACCTGAGGGTAGGAGTCTTCAAAGGCGCGATCTGGAGTCATGTGCTTAATGATGTCAGCCAACACGGTGTTCACCTCTCTTTTCTAATGGGAAGTGAATGAAACCCCCATTAGACACTGAAGGGTAGACACTGACCATTTTTCTGGAGAAAAGGACTAATGTGTTCAGAATATAGTACACATCCTCCAGAAATAGTTTCAAATATTCTGCTGAAAATATTATAAGGGGAAAATCCCTCCCATATCACAGCTTCACGGTGGCTCTGTCCACACCACGTCAGGACGGAAGCATGGTTCCCACAGGCTCTGGGCATTCCCAGGCCCCTGCTTCCCTGTGTGCTGGGAAAATCGACTGTGCCACTTGCTGCCCCCGCCAGGTCCCTCTCCGGCGCTGCAAAACCACACTGACATTCTGTAAGCGCACAGACCTGCCCCCACAAGCCAGGTAACCCAATGCCCACTTCACTGTTGCTGCTTAAAGTAAATAAGTCTGTCAATAGGATTCAAACCCAGTTCTACCTGTTTTAAAGCCTCTGCTCTTTGATAAGCCCAGTATTTCTCAAACTGAGGTCCCAGGCGGGGCCTCGGGGAAGAAGTGTGTTTGTGTGCTTAGACAGTAATTACATTGCAGTCAAATGTGTTTGGGAACTGCTGCTTGCTAGACCCCATGGAAAGTCACCATGACTTCAGCATATACACATCTAACGTATCTGATAGTGAAAAACTGATTAGCTTTGCACAATGCAGCTTTTCCCAAATTCACATGGGAACTCTCTCGCTGTAGCGCACATATTAATGCTCTATCACACTATACAACAAAGGATGGACTTTTTATAAGTTAAGAATAATTATCACTGTAAAATGCCTAAGCTAGACTTATTCACTATAATAAACATGAAAAAATATATAATTATTTCAAAAACACAGCCACACATACCGTGAAATGCCGGCAGGTGTACTCTGCCCACACCTCGGCGCAATCAATGTAGTCCTGCAGGGAAAAGCAAAGACGTCCACAGTGAGAACCCCGTGCGGACTGACGGCGGAAGCCCTTCTCGGCCTATGACAATGGAAAGAGCTGACAACTGGTAGGAATTCCGAGTTTCATCTACAGAAAACTCTGCCCACCGATATATTTTACCCTGAGATAAGAATTATAGAAAAACATAAGTTGCTTGAAACTGTGGACGCTGAGAAAGAAGACACTTTCTAGGAAGGGCTCCTGGTGGCTAACTGGGCTCAAATTTCCAAAGCAGAGCCCAGCAGCCGCGTCCCCGCGGGCCTCTCCAGCAAGCTGCACTTCAGGGAGCATCCTGCACCCATTTGCCTGCCTCTGCACTGAGCTGCCTGCTGTACTGAGTCTGGGATCCAAGCCAACCCTTTATAAAGGAGTTGCTTGAGCCCTAGCCAGTTTGGTTCAGTGGACAGAGTGTCGGCCTGCAGACCTAAGGGTCCCAGGTTTGATTCTGGTCAAGGGCACATACCTCAGTTTCAGGGTCCTCCCTGGCCCAGGCCCTAGTCGGAGCACATGCAGGAGGCAACCAATTGATGTATTTCTTTCATATCAATGTTTCTCTCTCTCTTCCCCTCTCTCATCCACTCTCTCTAAAAATCAATGGAAAAATATCCTCAGGTAAGGATTTTAAAAAAATAAAGGAGTTGCTTGAATCCTATTTCAACCAATAGGACTAAGGGTTTCTCCATCCAATCAGAGCTATGCAGCTCTATGCTTATTGACCTCTACACTGACCAATCAGAGCAGTTCAATTCTGACCAATCAGGATAGTGCCTTTTGGAACAAACTGCAAGGATTTGGAGTCCTCATTTGCATGAGGATGAACCAATCAGGGACCAGGTGCAGGGACCTCTGTCTATAAGTCAATTCCCTCTGTTCTAGGAGTACACTTTCCCTTTTTTACAAAGACTGACACTACATTTCCTAATCGGGGCTGAAACACCAAAGGTGAGACACTGAGGACATCTCAGAGGAACAGAGTGGAGCAGACAGTGCAGGGCAGGCTGCAGACGGCAGGGAGCAGAGCTGTCCAGCCAGAGAGGGGCCTGGCCCAGGGCGACCAAACAGGCCAGTGGCTGTTACCACAGCCGTGCTGTCACAATTGAGCTGTTGGTGCTAAAGTTTCCTTCTTCATCGCACTCCAAACTGGGGATTCCTACTGGTGTCAAATTGAAGGCACCAACATTTGATTGACAAAACTACCCAGACCAAGACAGAAAACCAGGAAGCTCTACCAGGATTGAAGAATGGGAAAAATCAAGGGGCAGGGGGAGACAACAGTGGAGAGTCCACCACACTCGGTGAAGGAATGGAGGACAGATCTGGTTGAAGGTTTCAGATTTGCCTAAAATGTGACTTTTCAAAATCAGGCTTCCTGCCTTTAAAAAACAAACTATAGGTCACACCTGGTGTGTGCCTGATGTAAAAGTTAAGCAAGCCTAAAGAACAATTTTCAAGGTGGCAGCCGAGTAGGTGGATCCTTCTTGCAACTCCTCCCAGAACCAAATCCTATATAATAAAAGGCTAATATGCAAATAAACCAAATGGGTGGAACAACCAGGAGGCATGTGTACAACATGGCTTGCGTTGGACGCAGCGGGATGGTGGAGCAGGTGAACGGAGGTGCCAGACCAATGCGGGGCACCGGTCACTGTCATTGGGGCAAGCCTCTTGGTGGTTACTGAAAATTCTTTGCTCCCATGTGCCGCGGTCCCGCTGGGCGCTCGTACCTGCTGCTGGCACCGGCCCCACTTGCAACTGCTGCCGGCGCCGGAGCCGCCACTTGTACCCACTGCCGGTGCCTGGCGCCAGTCCCAATCACTTGGCGCCATCAGTGGGTGCTAGCAGTGGCTGATAGGTCTGATCACCCCTAAGGGCTTCTCCACCTCCCCCTGCTCCTGAGGGGCGATTGGGACAGCAACTGCTGCTCGCACCCACTAACAGCACCGGCCCAGCCCTGCTCACACCCACTGACAGTGCCAGCCCCGCTCACACTCACTGCTGGCGCTGGCCTCAATCGCTCCGAGCCATTAGCACGTGGGAGCAGTGGTGGCGGGAGCAGGGCGGCCAGCACACAGAGGACCGGGGGCCGTGGCAGGAAGGGCCAGGTGTGGGCACAGTGGATGGGTCAAGACCTGCCCCTGTGCTTACCGCAGACTCGCAGCCCACCATTCCTTTCAAGGTGCACTAATTTGTGCACTGGACCCCTAGTTAGAAATAGAACTAAATGGGGGCACATTCACCTGGAACTAACAACTGAGGGGCTGCTGCTCTAACAGGTGCAGGCTGCGGAGGGGGGGAATCCCTGAGAGGAGTGAGGCCTGGACCCAGGCTGGGCTCCCCAGGCCAGAGCACTAGAGCCGAGACGCGGCCTCATAATGTGCAGCCGGAAAGGTGATGGCTCCTATCCATCAGGGAGAGAGGCAGACGGTTGGAGGTAAAGCCACTTGAAAAGCAGAATAGAACACCAGAGCACAGGGTTTCCCTTCAACCACTCACATGAGGCGCTGGGGCGGGAGGGCAGTGCGCCTGGAGCTCCCTGAGGAGAGGCTGCGGTTGGGGATGGGCAGACACAGGAATGGAAGCTGGGAGACTGAGCTTGATCATCCCCGTCCACCCACCCATACCCCAGCAGCCACTTCTCCTGAGATGCCCAAGCCCTTTAAAAAGCAGCAGCTTGGGGAAAGGCAAACCCCTCCTTGGAGATATAGCTCCCCTCACCTGCAGGAAGCCTGCTAGCCCCACCCTGCATCTCGACCTCTGCTGAGGAGCCTGCAGCTGAGGCCAAGCCTACCTCTGGACAGTCTCGGGGGGCATCTGTGACTGACTCTGGGGTGCAGCCATTCTCCCCACAGTGCTGGGAACTGAACTCACAAGAGAGCTAATAGGAACTGCTGGCTTCCAGCAGACTACTGGAAGCCACGGCTTTCCCAATACTGTCATAGAGTGCACCAAGGAACGAAGGCCAATGGACCTGGGACGATTAGCAGGGCTAACACCAAGCACCATTGTTCTGTTGAGATCGCAGTGGCTCGAAGCAATTTCCTGACCTAATAGCCTCAAAGTAAATGTTTACTGGACCTTACTGACCTTACTGACCTCTGAGATGCTCTGTCTGCTACCTGTTTGCTGTGCTTTACTGACGGCAAGATGTGTATCTAAAATTGAATAAAAGCGGACAAGGCCAGGTTTCAGTGACTCTTCTAGAGAGAGGTTTCTATCTGGCCCCCCAATGCCTTCTATTTTCATATTTCTTATCTAGTGTTTTCATTTGTGCATTGGCCCCTTCTTCAGATCCTGAACCCCCACTGCAACAGGTTGCCAAAGTAGACCCCACAGGTCTGCACTCAAGGGCACTGCCCTGCCATCAGGGAAATATTCCAGGAGAGACTCAGATGTGTGGCTCTGGGGGAGAGGAACACACCCACCATCTATCTGAACACCCAGTGGTCTCAGTCTCCCAATTCCATCAAAAGCCCCTTCAGAAGCAGCCTTTACAGTGGCAACTGGCTGGCAGGCAGAGGAGGGAGGAGAACCCCAAGCGGCCTTAGGATGTTTGCTGACTGCCCCTGGGCCCCTTACTGCTAACAAGCTGGCCCCAGAGTGCAGCTTGACCTCTCGAAGTGCAGCCAAGCCCTGAGCTGGCAGACACAAACTATGAATCACTGGAAGCATTGAACAGTTGCTGAGCGCCAAACATGGACAGCTTCAGACAGGGGCTAGCACCAAAGTACCTCCCAGGGGACTCACGCAGAATACAAAACAGCCTCATTCTACATAAGAGCAGGATCCAAAGGGAACCAGGAGGCACTAAACCCTGCCAAACAAAGTGACTTCGCTTTTTGGGGCATTCTTTTCTTTATTTTTCAATTACATTGTTATTATTTTTGTCTTTCTTTCATATTTCTTATTTTCCTTTTTCCTAAACATATTTGTATTACTTTTTAGAGAGAAGGAAAGAAGAGGGAGAGAGAAAAACACCAATCAGCTACCTCCTGCACACCCCTTACCAGGCATTGAGCCCATTACCTGGGCATGTGCCCTGACCAGAAATTGAACCGGCAACATTTTGGTGTATGGGACGATGCCCAACCAACTGAGCCACCTGAAGAGGGCTCTCTTTACTTTTATTTCCCTATATTTTTGCTCTAACTCCTTCCTTCACTTCCTTTTTTCTTTTCATAATTTTTCCCTTCCTATTTTATACTGTTTTCCTTACCCTATTTTTTTTTTCCAAAGCAGATTTGGAAACAATGCTTTTATTTTTTTGTTGCTGTTAATCCTCACCCAAGGATATTTTTCCACTGAATTTTAGAGTGGGAGGGGAAGAGACACAAAGAGAGAAACATCTATGTGAGAGAGACACATGCACTGGTTGCTTCCTGCACACACTCCTAAGGGCAGGAACTGACCCTGCAATTGAGGTATATGCCCTTGTCTGGAACCAAATCCGGGACCTTTCAGTCCAC